TCTTCAACTTTATAATTTTTAAGAGAATGCTTCACTAAAAATCAGAAAACTAACTCCACCTATCTTCCCATGGTAAATGAATGAGCTGTAATATGGTTAGAACTTTGAATTTGCAGGTATGACAGGATTCTATGGTATGGCAAAGGAGTCAGGCAACTTTCCTATTTCCGGAGTGAAAGTAAGTTCTCTGATCATCGGCCTGTCTCAGCCCTTTTCTGTACACAAATTGAAGTAGGGAAATCTGGCAATCCAAGGTTCACTGCTGTTCCGACCACCTTCCTCCCAAAAACTCCTAGCAGAACTGTATGTACTCTCATAAATTTAAAATTGTTCTATAGGATAGATGATTTGCTATAATTATACAGGATGGATTACATAAATTTGATATCAAGCACTAATTCTTAAGTTTCTCCTGTGAATGCTATTGCAGCATGGACAGGAGAGAACTATCGAAGAGGTCCCATCCACATTGCTATCACTAATTGGCAAGGATATGGAAGTTTCACAAACATATACGCAAGCTTGTATATCCGGTAGATGATAAAACTTCATTTGATTAATTGTGTTGATACTGAAGAGATTCATAAATTTACCCCAACCTCTCCATTGGAAAGAAATATGAGAGAAGATGGGATACTAAAAGAATACTCCTTATATGTGACGAATTTCCTGCCCAGAAAATTGAAAGCGACAATTTGCCAAATTTTGAGTATGAAAGAGTAAATCTGGAAAAGTGAAGTGTGAAACGAAATCGAAGTGTTCCATACGCATTATGAAATACACGTCCAGTCAACCAACCCGCTCTATTCAAGATATGCAAATAACTATCTGCTTTATTCAGGATTTGGAAAAAACCATAGTATTAAATTGTGATACAAAACAATAAAGATGCAAAAGCACAATTACTTATTACCGCTGGAGGACAATCCTCCTAATCCTCCAATAGGCTGGTGCAGTATAAAATGAATATGCTTTATGAACTAGACCAAGTAACTATTGATGAACCGCATAATGTTGTCTACCTTATCCGTCCATTCAGCTCAAGCGTCTTCCCGATAAAGCCATTCTCTGTGAAAATTTTGAAAAAAAAAAAGTTTAAAAGAAATGGTTCAAATATTACATTTCAAAATTTGAGAACTCAATTTCTTTAAAATTGCAAATCTATACCTGCTAGAACTTTCGTCACTCTTCAAATCATTGGATTATAGGTCACTGAAAGGCATATCAGGCTTGCAAATAATATATTCTCTGTTACAATCCGAGATTTTACTAGTAAAAAATCAAAAGTTGAATTGTTAAAGTCAAAGAGAAATAGGGACTAAAATGAAATAAATTATTTTAATTGGGACTTAATTTATTATGAAAGTATTTTGAAGGTTTAAGTTGAATAAAATAAAATTTTTGGGATCTACTTATATATTTTAGGAAGTTTAGGATTTAATTTAATATTATATTAAGGAAGAGGGACTTCCTTTGCAATTTTGAGTAAGTGGGCCTCTATATGACTAAAATTTGACCCATTTTGCAATTAAAACACACACTCAAACACACTAAAAATCAGGCAGTGAGGGGGAGTTCGGCAGAGGGAGAAAATTCGAGAAAATAGAGGAAGAAAAAGAGGGAGAAAGAAAGAAAGAAGAAGAAAGAAAAGGAGAGGGAAAGGAAGGTAAACTTGGGTTTGAGGTCTTCAATTTCTTCAAGAGGTAAAGACATAATTTTTTTGTATACAATGATGATGCTGAAATTTCTAAGGTTTAAAGTAGTTGGTTAATTTGTGGATATAAATTATAGATTAAGAGAAATTAGAACTATACCTTGTGAAGATTCCTTGATTGGTTAATTTCTATCTACCTTAAGGTAAGAAATATCAAATTCTAGTAAACCCTAGTTTTTTAAATTGGACGATTGAGTAAAAATTAATTGTGGAAATGATCAAGTGATGGAATTATTCACTTGAAAGAATAATTTTATGGAGCAAGATATATCTTAAATTGGTTGGAGTATGATTGCTAGTTTTCACTAGATTGAAAGGATAAATTATTTACATGCCTTGGATGAAGATTAATTGGAGGAATCGGTTATTAGTAAATGAACTAGAAAGTGGAATTAATTCCAATTGATTAAAGGAAAATTTGGAAATTTATTCAAATATCGAGAATTAATTTAGGTATTATATCATTAGAGATAAAAGTTTTTTTTGTTTTTGTTTTAATAGTGGTTAAATTGGTTATTTTGTGTCGTATTTCAGCTGGTAACAAGGATATCGAAAAAGCCTACCGACCATCTTAGGCTATAGCTTGACTTGTGGGTGGATATAAATTTATTTTTCAAAAATTAGTATTTATTAAATTTATATTAAATTAGAAAATTTATTATTTCATACAGTGGATTTGACAGCATAATTTTCAGAATAAAGTTGATTTATAAATAGTTATTTTTAAAGTTAAATCATTTCATTGGCATACTATTTCAGTATTAAATATTTCAGCATATTTAAAGTTATTTTTAAAACCATTAGAAAATACCCAGTTAATTTTACCATAGTGTATATTTGTGTGAATGTGTTTTCACAGTGTATGATCAGTTATAGTGATCTTATCCGCTCTGCACTATTGTGAATGTATTCTCCATAGTGTATAACCAGATTATAGCCTTTGGGCAGCTCTGCATGCGTATGACCAGAATTACAGAATTTCAAAATTTAATAACTTTGCTATGTATATCAGTACTAACCGATACATGAGTAAGGTTATTCCGGGTACTTTTTGTTGTGATTTTCAATAATTTACAGTTTATCAGTTTCATATTACAGAATTTAGTCATTTCAGTTTAAAGAATAAATATTTTAGCTTATAGTACCGTAAATGAACATTTTTATTATATACCAGTTTTCAGAAAGTTGGCATAAATGGAAATTATATACTTGCGAAATATCCACTCATTAAGTTGTAGGCTCATATTTTTTCATCACCCTTTCTCTTATTAGATAGTAGCTAAGTTAAACACCACTAGGGGCCAATTGATCTATCGAGTTGAGTCATGTATTGTCAAGCGCCTATGATTCATCTCTATCAGTTTATAAAGTTCATATTTGGCATAGACACATATTTTGATTAGAAATTAGTTACATGTCTTGGGCTTGCTGTATTTTGTATATATTATGCATTTGGGAACACCTGTTTGTAAATTATTGCAAAGGTCGAATTGTCAGTATAGTATTTTGAATAGTTGGTATTCTGAGGGGCCGGTGTACCTTATTTTAAACTTCATGTACATGTTTGGGATACTTGATTATATTCTGAGGTGGTTTTAGTCCATATTTTAAAGGGAAATTTGCCAAAATTTTTATTAAGTTTGTCGCAGATAAAGAAGGTCAAAGTTGCTTTAATGGTAGGTCCGACACTTAGTTGGTACTATCATCGACGCACGACACGTGTTGGGTCCTTTAGGGTGATTCAGGACGGGTTGCGTCATCCTCAGTCCAGAAATATGCAGCCATATGAAACACATGTGAATATTATGAAGTGTATATCTAAGCATGACAGTGTATGTATGTATTGTCCTCAATTACTGGAGTATACCTTAAGCGCTTCCAGTTGAGATCCAACTTTTGATATCTCATCCTGCGTCGGAGCAATCCTCACTTAAAAGTAACTCAAACTCAATTAATATTTGAAAAAGACTAAACTCGGAAAGTAATAAAAGCATGACTACTTGAGGAAATTCAATTTTTTTTTTTTTTTTTTTTTTTTTTTTTTTTTTTTTTTTTTTTTTTTTTTTTTTTTTTTTTGGTGAAATCGCAATAAAACTTACATTATAACTTAATTATCAAATTAAGACTGCAGAAATATAAAATAACAAATTCCTAAATTAATTGAAAAAGTATTTTCCATAATAACAACATATTTGGAAGAATGCGAACTTGTAGAGCTTGAATGGAAGCTCGCTCATCCTGCTCCGTACTCTCTTTGTGTCACTTGGCACCTTCATGCTCTGCATTCACTGCCTCCAGCTCGAATTGAAGCTCTTCGATACACTTCTTCTAATTCACAATTCTCCCATCTTCAAATTCACAAAAAATGTGAAATACGGGTATTCAATACTTGGCATTTCAATTTTCGCAACTATTTGGGATGTCATGCTGGAGAGAAATTTCGATTGGTTCTCCTTTTGATATATTTGGTCATTCTTTTATGTTAACTCCTTGAGATTTTCAGTTGCGAAATCGTGAATTATGGATAGGAGTCGCTTCTGTAGATCATTTCTCGTCTTTTCCTTTTTGAATCTCTCTGCGTTCAAGTTTGAACGCCATTGAATGAAGGAAGCGTTAATTATGATTTAACGTTTGTCCGATTTATATAGAGCTAGGCCAACCATTTAATTGGGTTGTGGAAACACCGTCCAATTAACAAATGGATTGGACTAGTTTTGTGAGTTGAGCACCATATTTGTCAAAACTTATAATTCATTACTGAGAAAAATTCATATCTAAGAGATTAATCCCTTATTTGGCACCCTTTAAAATTTTAAATTGTTTGTTATAGTATCATTTTCTACTACACATTCACACAATAAAATATTTTACACACAAATCAATAAAGTTTATTTATTTTTTCATCACACATTCTCAAAAAAATACTATTCAAAACTCTTTAACTTTTCAAATAATGGACAAGAAACGGGGGCTAAGTATAACACATTTCAAAACTAAGACAAGTTTTAAAACTTCAAAAAATCAAATTTTATTAATTTTATTTTTGAAATAATGAATTAAAAATATAATTTTAGTAATTAAATATATTAACGTCACAATTTTATACAACTTGGTCAGAAATTATTGAATTAGTTAGTCACAAATTGTTTCTTGATCACAAATAATTTTTTTATTGATCATAATTTATTTATCGATCACAAATTATCAAATTATTTAGTCACAAGTCATTTCTCAATCACATATAAATTGTGAGCCATATATTATTTATTGGTTACAATCAATCAAATTATTGATTACAAATACCCCACTCCATCCTACTCATGACCACCACATAGCCACAATCACCAACACCAACATTATTACCGCCAAACCAGATCACCAACATTACCACAACATCTGAACACACCATAGCAACTACATCACCACCATAGCACCATGATCGCCTCACTAGACTGCCAACATCACCATTGCATCAACCACAACACCACTATACACCATCAAAACGCCACCATAGCAACCACAACACTATCGCACCGCACTATACCATGGGAAAAGATTCCTGCAACAGATCGCACATATGTATGATATAAAATCACCACTAAAAATGAAACTCCGCGACTTCCGTTACTAGCGACATCTAGAGAGTGAGGAGTGAGAAGAGTGACTTGCGGTACTATGGTGCAAAGTAATATTTGCAACAGATACTACACGTATAGGAGAAAAAATCATCGCTGCAATAGATCTCTACAATTTTCGCTAGCAACATTGTTTAGAGAATAAGAAGAGATGAAGAGCGCCTTGTTGAGGGTGGTGGAAGGTAAAGAGAATGAAAAGTGATCGACGGTGGTGGAAGATAAAGAGAAGGATGAGTGGTGGATAGAGAGAGAATTGGGAGATATAGAATAAGTCAGCTGTATAGAGAGAGAGAGAGAGAGAGAGAGAGAGAGAGAGAGAAGATATTGAGAAATAATTAAGATATGTGATGGTAAGTAAACATACCACAACTATTTCACAATTACAACCATAAAAATAAAAAAACGAATAGAAGGAAATAGACAACAAGCTATAACCATGGTGGAATCAGATTATAACAACTTAATAGTAACAATTTGTGATCCTAGTATCCGCGACCCAGGGGCGACTTGATACACTGTATTTTGGAGCTGAAAGAAGTGTTACTTGACTTGGCCTTTACTCTTGTCAGCAGGGTCGGACCTGTGTTTTGCAGGGCCTGTGGCGAAATTTAGATTTTGGGCCCATAAATCATAGCAAGCAATTAATTTTTTTCATTTATAAGAGATTTAAGGAACTAGATTTGTCAACATAAATTCAAAAAATAAATCAAAAAAATGAAATATTTAAAATATGTATATTATAATTAAATAACAACGTGAAAATATTCTAAAAGATTACTTAAATACAACTTGTTTTGCAGTTTTTGAGGCAAAAATATCGATCAATTTTGTATAGTCGAGTTGTTCAACAATTTCTTTTTCAATTGATAACATGGTTAAACCATTCAATATTTGCCATGACATAGTTGACCGGATATAAGCCTTGATCAATTTCAATTTGGAAAAACTTCTTTCTGCTGTTGCAACTGTAACTGGAATGGTGAGCAAAATCTTGTAAGCAATGCAAACATTCGAAAAACAACTATTCATTTTCTTAAAGTAATATAGTACATCAATTGCTCTTTTTGTTTCGCTAGTTAAATAGCACCTCAAGACGATCAACTCCGAACAAAAATCATCACCTATAATGTCTGAATGTCCATTATGTTCTAAATACTGCTCAAGATTCATACAAGATTTCAGGAAACTGTCAACTTGCATACTCTTTAATCTATCCAAGTTAAACAAAAATCCAAATATCTTTTCATAATGTGTAAATTGTTCAAAACGAGTTTGAAGTGATGATCGAGCTTGATCAATTATAAAGAGAAAATACTCAACTCTAAAAGATTCTCTAGCCGAGTATGTTACCTCTTCAGTGCCACTTTCATCGAATTGCTTCTTTCTTCGAATGCTACGTCTCTCTTAAAATACAACTTCAATTCCCATTTCACTTGCCATTTGTTTAGCATCATCCATGGCACTAGCAAACTCAGATTCTCTATAATCTCCGAGAAATTTAATAAGTGCTTGTAAAAGTTTGATGGTTTCATTAATATCCATGTTTTCAGCTTGAAAAAAAAAATTTACTCACAGTATTGATTGCATGCAATAACTTATACCAAATTACTATGCCAAGCAAAAACTCAAAATTTTCAAGTTCATATATTGCTAAGGACTCAGCTTCACTTTTTGTTTTAGGATCTTCAACAATGTTTGCCAAGTCAAGTAAAGTGTCTCTTACTTGTACAGATTGTTTTTTTATAGGCTTGACATTTTCCACATGACTTTCCCAGCGTATCTGCAACAATGGCTTAAGTGTCAGACCTTGAACCTTATCTTTAAAAAATTTCCATTGTTTGGGAGAAGAAGAGAACACTGTGTAGATTCGCTGTATCACTCCAAAAAAGGACATAGCTTTCGAACAACAATTTTCCATATCACATGATGTTGGATTAAGGCTATGATAACCACATGGAGTATAGAAAGCTCTAGGATTAATTTCAAGTAACCTTTTTTGTACACCTCTATGTCTCCCGCTCATGTTAGCTCCATTGTCATACCCTTGACCTCTTATATTATCAATATCAATATCAAGCTCGAGATTCTTTAACACATTTTTAAGCTCGACGAAAAGTCCAAATCCTGATGCATCATGCACCTTCAAAAAGTCAATCCAATATTCTTGTACCATCGGCGAGTCTACCGAATTATCCATGCATCGTATTACTAGAGACATTTGTTCTTCGTTACTTGCATTTGGAGTACAATCAAGTATGACGGAAAAATATTTTGCATATTTCACTTTTGTGACAATTGCACTTCTCACCTCGTCTGCAAACATTTGTATCAATTCATTTTGAATCTTAGGGCCCAGATATGTATACTGAATCTCACGTGCTTGGGCACGTCCAATGCTCTATTTCTTTGTTGATGGACAATTGTATATGTTTTGTTTGAAGCCTATTTTTCAATTCCATCCAACTAATCATGCAACCTATACACTCCTTAGACACTTCGGGATGTGTAAGACGCGAATGCATATTATGCCAATCATTGTATCCGTCATTACCCAATTGACCAATATTTTTGTCTATTTTTCTGTCTTAAATAATTTGCAGCAAAAACAGAAGATCTTATTCGAAGAAATTGAATACACTAACCATCTTCTATCAGTTGTCTGCCCATTTGCCATTAATCCTTATATTGTGATGATTCAAAATGTCTACCTTTACTATCTCTGGGAAAGAAGATGTCATCAACTCTTTTTGGACCCACTTCAACTAAAAAGTCTCTTATTTTTTGATCAATGTGAATGTCCTTCCAATTTTCAGGATCATTAAAATTCAAAGAAAAGCAATTCTCTTAATTTAAATCTTTATGTTGAACATTATTTTTATTATTCTGTTTTGAATCATCCATATTTGCAGGTTCAATCATTTCTTTGTTCTCTTTTCGCTCATCCACATGATCATTGTCATTATCATTCTGATTCTATTGTTCCTCGATCGTTAACTCTTCTGGTGTTCCTTCTTTCTCTTTTCTTTTTTTGCCATAAAAGTACTTATTCATATCTCCAGCTTGACTTCGAGTTAATGCCTCGACTCTTTCTTTCTTCTTCATTTTTTGAGCTCTCGACACATATTTAAGGGCCATGGTATTTGACTCAAGTCACTTAACAGCAAACGCTTACTAAAATTTCAGAGTAAAAGAGGACCAAGTTAGATTAATTTAAGATTAAAAATTCAAAATTGATGACCCAGTCACAACTAATAACTTATAATAAAAGTACTCAACTTAACATCGACCATAATTCACACTTTATCAATTCTAGAGTTTTAGTTGCGCACTTGATAATGAGAGAACTAGACCAGAATATAAAAAATAAATACTAGAGAGCTAAATCCATTAGCTCGAGCTAATGAATCTATATTTCCATCACGTAGCCTTACCTATTTCATCGGATCATCATCAACTACTATCTTCAAAAAACCCCTCCCCCTCCCCAACACAAAAATTGGAATGCTACAATTGCTCACGGTCACAGACAGCTTATTTCATAGAATCACAGTTCATTTGCCCTTAAATTACTTTAACATGGCAGGATTAATCATTCATCATTAATGGATGAATTTAAGAATTTCATTCACCAACTGAAATCAATTATTCAATTTAACATGTCTTCAAGTTTAAAAATTAAGATGCAGCTAATAGAGAAAGAAATCAATTTAAATCTCACACCCAAAACATAGCAAAAAAACAAATTGATAGATATTAATTATTATATTAGATAATAATTAACAAAATCACTAAAACAGAATGCCACAATGCCCTAGCAATAGCATCAGGAACATGAAGTGATGAAGAGTTGAAGACATGATCGGCCGGTCGGATTTTGCCATTTTGGATATCAAACATTGCAAGAAAACAATTAACAAATTGATAGATAAAATTAATACTTAATAGTAATAAAGATACAGAAGTAGAATGTCAGCAATATCAGAATCAGATTCATCACATGATTGCCGTCAGGAGGTTGGAATTTGGGGATAAATGACTTACAAAATAGTACCAAGTACAACGTCAAACGAGTCCGATAATAGAAGTCACAAGACCGCTGACGCCACAGGACAGGATGCTGTGAGTCTCTGACTTTGCCGTTGCCCGTCGCCGGTAGGTTTTAGGAGTGGTCCATTGAGACTTAAGTTGCAACAAACGTAACCAAAAACCATGGGAAATTGGCAATTGGCGTGGAGAATTGGAGCAGCCGACTGCAAAAGAGTAGAGATAACTGCTGTCTATTGAAATTGGCCTGGGTTTTCCAAGAAAAATAAAAAAAAGGTTACAAGTATTTTGGGCCCCCTTATATTCTGGGCTGAGGCAGAGGCCTCCTGGGCCTCTCCGCAGGTCCGACTCTACTTGTTAGTCGCGATGCAAATCAAGTAGCCTATATTCTTACACAATAAGCTTTTCACCGTTTTAATGTCTAATGTTTGGGTTAATGGTTCCATCTCATTTTCTTGTGAACATTGTTGGATCTTACTGATAACATGCCTCTAAAATGAAGCAAACAAAATCTTTGCAATCCCTACTAATGACTGGACGAAAAGGGTTAGGGTTGGGCATTGTTTGATTCGGTTCAGTTTGGTTCTCAGACCCGGAATTTTCCAGTATTTAGTAAGTGGAACCATTGGGTCCAAATTTAATTATGGAACCGTTCAAGATCGGTTCGGCTCCTAGGTTCTGTACTATAATTAATTTTTTTAATATTTACAAAGCTACATTAAATCAACTAATGATATGCTCAATTTTTGTTTTAACAAAATAACATAGTCTAATCTTATATGTCTTTTGCATCCTTCTTTTCTAAGTTCTTTGTAGATTTAATTGTTAAAATAAAATGAAGAAGACGATATCGAGTTTACAATAATTAAGAAAGGAGTTGTCGAGTTTCAATTTGATTTGTCTAGAACGGTAGAAATGATACTACGATAAAATAACAGATTTGAGTAAAACTTACGTCAATTTGATCAAATTGGCTTGGATCGAAAATCAGAAATAAGAAAATCATATTTTTGGATTTGAGCTAAATTAACTAGTTAGCAAATTTATTTAGAAAAAAATAAAATAATTTAGTTTATTTAAAATAAATAAATTAAAAAAATGATGGAAATTTGGTTCCTGAGAATCGAACCAGATCCGTGGTTTTCAATTCAGATATTCATTTGGGTATTTAACTTAAGAAGAACCGTTCGGTTCGATTCAATTTGGTTTGGATTCGATTCGATTCGAGAGTTTTGCTCAACCTTATAAAGGGCTGATTCCGACAAGACAGGAAATGCACAAATCTTGTTTTTCATTCAAAGAATGACCTTTCGTTTTCCAAATGACGTCGCTATTTACCATTCATAAAACTTGATTGATGCTCTCACCCCTTACCTTTCAAAAAATAGGCAAAGTTCACCATTTCCATTCATTTTGGCCATTAAAGTAACGTGAAATAAGTGATTTATCCTCCTCGTTAAATAAAGAAAACAAATTAATTAAACAAAAAATAAAAGGAGAATCGTAGTGGGAGTTTCAAAAAGTGAAAATGGGTCCAAAAAGGGGAAATATTATAAAAAGAGAACAGTTTAAACAAAACAAATTGACAAAAGAATAAATGAATTTTAAAAAAGGGGAAAAGACCTTATCTTCCCGACCGTGCATATTGCTCTCCTCTTAAATAAAGAAAAGGAAAGAAAGCAACAAAACAAAAATAAAATTAAAATTCCAAAGGGAGATCCATACCTTTTCTAAAAGTGAAAATGGTCCCAAAAAGAAAATAATTCAGAAAAAAAAAAACCAAAAGAAATAAAATTGACACACAACTCCTCCACCATCCAACGATAAATCGAACGCACTCGATAACCCGTCATCCACAAATGTAAAATAAAATAAATAAACAAAAATCATTTGCACAACATTTTAATTATGATCAATGAAATCAAAATTTACTCATTTTTTGCACTTATATATGCTAATTGTTTAATTTATTTATTATATTTAACCTTTAATTAATTAACATATATTTTATTGATGACGATTTCTGTCCAAATATTTTGTTAGCGTACTTTGAGATGAAGAGCGAATATCTTGTTGAATTTTATCTTTTTTATTTTTTTTCTTATTTAAAATATGAAGACTAATAATTTTTTTTACGGACATGGACAACTTGTAGTAATTAATAGAAAGTTGAGATTAAGAATGAAGGAAAATATGTTGAGGACATAAATATAAAAATGACCAAATATTAAGAACCCTATTACAATTAAATTATGATACAAAAAATGTGGTATAAGAATAATTATTGGATCTTGAACAGGGGTAAAAATTAAAATAGTAGCTAGGTATGTCAAGGGAAATAATTATAGATATTAATATTGCTTCTATATTTTCTATTATTCGAAAGTCTAGTTTGCGCCTTTAATGGAGTGAGTGGTGACTAATAATTAAATTGGATAGTCCAAGGTTGAATGGATAGTGTCTAATTTCTGTATCTTAAATGATATGTTCGATCAGTTTCCTTTGATAACTCCTTAAAAAGAAAATGACCTATTTGTAGTTATATCCAAGGACAATGCTCTTAATTTTTAATTGAAAAAGAGGCTATAATTTGGTAAAGAAAATGAACTGAATTTATGCACGAAATCATACTTTTATGGGCACGTTAAACAAGGCAAAAAATTTATGTCTTCGTATGATAAAAGGGATTATTCATGCATTGGAGTTGGATGTATGATAAAAGCAAAAGGGATGATTTAGCCCATTGTTCGTTAATTATATCGTGTAGTTATTTATAAGCGATCTCATTTCCAGTAAGATAATCAGAGATGGACGTCACTAACTTTTGGATACAAACCAGATTAAACATATTGTGACACATGCTGCTCCAATATTTTTACATTTTATTTGAATATGAACGATGATAATGATGATGATAATAACAACAATAATAATTTTAAATTTTTTTCACAATCATTATATTCGAGTTTAACTTTATAAACACTGGATAATGACTTTATTATCAGATTCATCAAGCACATTTTTGTTAATGTACACAATGCAATATAATGATCTGAAACATCGAATAGTTATACTAATATTGATTATCTTTTAATTTTGTAAGAGTTAATTTTTATTTTTATTTATTTATTATTATTTTTTAAAGAGCTGCGAGAAACTGTGTAATGTCAATGTCTTCACAATTTAATTTTAGTTACACCTACACAAATTAAATATTAGAATACACATTGATACGCTATTGCATTATAAGTAACCATACAAATGACGATTAAGAGGAAG